TATTCATTTCACCACAATTACTGTGAATTTCCTTTTAGTAATCAACTTGCATTTTTCAAACAATTTTGCATGCATTTTATGCATCAAAAGGCACAATACCTCAAAGGGGAGGATCTTTGTAGTCTACCCTAATGGAGGGCCATTTCACAATCCAAACTTGTTCTCTGCTTCATCAAGGGCCTGATAATAGGCTCTACACAGCAGAAATAGCCAAATTGTAGTTTGAACTGAAGATTTTTTTTCATTTACTGCATGTTAGCATTTACACGAAACTTCAGTACAAAAGGGAACTTCATAAACAACAGTGTTTAAAAACAAGTAGTTTGTTCACTTGAGATAGCAACTTAATATGAGAAAAATATATTGCAACCTGCAAAGGAATTCATCCCATCATTGAATTATTTGATTTTTAGGCCGTTTGAGGCAGAGACTGCCTTCGGATGTGTTCTGTGGCATACAGCCTGAGTGGGTCTCAAGAGTCAGGATACAGAGATAATTGCATGATGCAAATAACAAACACACATAAGTCAGCATTGATAGACATAAAGGACAGGATCTAAGTTCTTTATCAGAACATAATTCTTAATATCTTCCTAGTCTCAAACATTTTAGGAACACAAACCCTTTCCAGTCCCCAATAAATAACAATTTATTGACTTCTCTCTATACCAAAGATGGAAGAAATATGCTACAGCCTCAGCCACAATAGTTATAACAAGTCCCACTTCTAATTTTCAGAGGTGTGCTGTCCAATTACTGCTATATAAAACAAAACAGCAGCTCTTATGCCAACAGAAATGTACACAGAGACCAACAGAACTCCCAATAAACCTTTTCTTTATAGCTTCTTCCTCAAAACATCACAACTGTTTCTGATCCTTTCTGCAAACCCCTTGCCACCAAGAACACATTGGGAAACCACAGAGCTGGGAGAAATCCATTCCTTCATATTCCTCCACATAACAGTGGTAAATTTTCCTTAAGTATATAATGGTACAATAACAATGCACTTCAAGACTCTATTCCTGCCTGATGCTTACGGGCAAACCATTCAAATAGACAGATTTGCCCTAACAGCAGCAGCCCTGACCCACACTAACCACAGCACAGGAGCAAGATAACCCTCCTAAAGCTTGCTTTGATGTCTGGCAGACAGTCCTAGTCCCACACTATAGAAACCCAAATGTTATTATCTACATGTGGGATCTGCCTTTGATTGCATCAAAATTGTGAACAAAAAAAAAATCTAAACATGAGCAGAATAGATGGGACTCGGTCCTGAGTTCACGCTGAGCTTGGATCTATCCTCAGGGAAGCCACTGCACTATGGCAACGATCACACCAACTAAAACAAAGGTGCTCCATCTCCAGGAGTTTATGATCCAGAAAATCAAATATTTAATCTCTTTGTACTAGGATGGTCCTTGCTTGGAGTCAATCCAGTAATGATCATATAGCCAGAATATAGTCAGAAGCAAGAAAAAACCCCACAAAACCAGTAAAGTAATGCTTTTATTTTTATATATAAACTCCCATGTACTGGCAACTTAATTGAGATGGTGGGGAGGAGGGTTTGCATAGACTTACTAGCAGCTTATATTATTTGGGTTAAAGTTATCTAGAGTTTGGAAAACTACAACTTCAGCAGCTGAGATAATGTTTAGGTTCTACATGTACCACAAAATAAGGAAAATGGATGATGTTAATAGAATCAATTATTTCCCCCTGTACTTCCCTGGTCATTTTAACATTGGAGTTTCAGTTTGGTGAGGGTAAAGGGTAAAAGCAGGGATAGAAGAGGAGTGAAGGAAGAGTTTGGAAAAGATAAAGCTCTTGTTCTGTTCACAGTTAATAAATAAGAAGAGGTCTGGTGCTAATACATTATAAATTTTTTCTCTTATTTTTCTCTGGGTATTAAACCATCTATTTCAGTCTAAGTATTGGCTCCCTGTCTGAAGTTAAAATAATAAATAGTATTATGGACAGTGGAAGCTGAAAGTCAAACTAAATAATAGATGGATCCTGAAAACTCAGCAGAGTTAGACTATTGGAGTCAAAAGGCTCCAACATCTTATTTTCTATTTTAACCTAAAGAACGATAGCCTGGTGATATTTCAGGTGGAAATTGAGGTCAGGATAACAATTAGAATTTGAAAAAGTAAAATGTCAAAGTCCTCTTCATGACTGGAATCAGTTTAGTCCACACAGTCATGAAGGTGATCTCAGTAGTAACCAGTTCCTACTGCTGTTGTTTCCTGTGGCTATAATTAGTCTTAGGAACATAAATGCTCAAGAGTCAAATCTATGTTTGGGTTCTTCAAGATACAAACTTTTAGGGATAATAAATAATGCTTGGCTTTTTCTTCTTCCTCAGAGAATTGCACTGAGCTGTAATGCTGGTCAGGATTAAGGTTTGGAAAATCCTGATGAACAGATTTTAGAAGTAAGACTTTGGTTAGTTTGTACATGCTTCCAAAGTTAGGAACAATGATATAGGCACTGGCTAGTGCCAGTATCAAACCACAGCTGTGGTTAGTGCTGAGACTAGGGTTAGAGCTGGAGTTCAAGAGCCACAGTGTCACCTCTTTCTAGCTGGATTCCAGTGCATCCACAGAGCTGGAGGTGGGTTTGTTTTGAGAGGGTGTGACAGCGCTCTCTGGAGTTTGGCACACATAAAGACAGATTACTTTCCTAAGCAGGTTATGTCGTGGGTGCACAGCAAGTCTAGAGGTCTTTGAGGGCTGCACTTTGGCTTCTAAGCCTTTTTACCTCAAGTCTATCTGATACAGATGGGCCTGGCCAAGTGGCTCCCTCTCACTGCTGCCTCCAGTTCCTCCTGGTCTTTCCCTCAGAAAGGATCTAACACAGAACAATTTCTCTCACCTTGTATTTTGCTTTGAAAATTTATGCTTCTATTTTGCATTTGAAAAAAAAAGTCATCAGTAACACTAATGGGCATAGGAAAATTTATTCTTTTTTTTCCCCTCACAAACTTATGATACCACGAAACAGCTTTATGAGGAAAAGTTTCATTTGCCTTTCTGCCATCAGGCATTGGCCAGTGTTCAAGGAAGCACATCCATCCAAATGAACAACTGGCTTGTTTCAGTACTGAGAAGCCAAATTCATCCTTGGAGTAAAACCAATTAATATTTGTGAGGAATATGTGGTATACATTAATTTAGGCCATTGGAAGAGGCAAAAGTGGTGTATCTTAATTATCCTGGCAGGACATACCAGTGGATTATGTTCTACAGAAAATAGGTACATGTAAATCTGAGAAACACAGGTTTTATTTTTAATTTACCTTTAAAAAGCAATTGAGTTAGACACAGCTCTATTAAGTGTATATCTCCTCAAAACAAAACTGCCAAAGTACCCATATTCAGCACCTTTCCTCCTCTCATCTCAGGCAGCATATGGATGGAAGCACAGCACAAATATCTGTATGTAATCTAGTTAAAAAAAAAAAGCATTGAGCCTTTCTGCCTTCTCCAGAAGTATATTTTAGACCACTCATTCACCATCAATAGCAGTGCAGGAGCAAATACTGAAGACTAAATCTCTGCCAATAAAAGCTGCATTCTTTGTGGAGCCTTGTGGTGACTCATGGTTGCCCTTTGGACAGGGAAAAATCCATATGCTAAAGCTGTCTCCCATGTGGGGGAAAATGGTCATATTTGGAAAAGGAAACTGCAGGGAAGAAACAAGCCGTGAAAAGGGCCAGTCCTGTGCATCAAGGAACTATTCCAGCCACTCTAACTTACAGTATCCCTGGAATTGTGCTAAGTTATCATCTGGATTTACTCTCTGGTTGACTTATCACAAGAAAGATTACTAAATTTTATTATTTTGGTTTTTAGAGATACTTGATCACAACTTTAATAGCATAAACAGTGTTTTAATATTTATCGGGGAAGACAATAGGAAAATTACTGCTTTCTTTGTCTTCCAATGGCAGACATTAATTTCAAAAAGAGAAGAATGAAATTACATGCCCCAAAGACCACAGAATTTTCTTGTACTTCAAAAACTGTGAAGCAGTGAGGCACAGGGAATTTCTGAATCAGACTGACATTCATCCACAGTATCTTGGAGTCGCAGGGATAGAACTTTTAGTTATGTTTGCTGTCTGGAAAATATCAATAAAGCAGAGAGTTTAGGTAAATATCATTCAGAAGCCAGCTGGCACTAAGCAGGACACCCATATCCACCCTTAGGATTGCAATGCAAACTCTGACCCTGTCTCCAGCAGGAAGGCATCTGCTTATTTGATAGTGAGAGCCCATATATGAGATTCCCAGACATCAATATTATAGAGCTTTGATAGTGACAAGTGGCATATTATACCTGCTTCAATTACCTAGCTTTCATTATTGCTGACTACTGGGCCAGAAAATATCATACATGAAGCACCTGCATTATTGAGCTATCAAAAAAGTGAAGATAATAGATCTATATTTTTTCTATAAAATGCTATAAAACACACAACACCTAGATCTTTTAAGCATCTGACTCATTTTTGCTTGTAATAAAGAGCTCCTGACCTGATGGTGTTGAACACGGGCAGCTATCATGGGACAAGCCCTTTGGAGCACAGTTCTGGGCACATGGAAAGGAACAAGGTGATCAGGGACAGCAGCATGGATTTTAGTATGGGTAAATAATTCTGACCAACCTGGCTACCCTCTATGATAAAATACCTAGGCTTGTGGACAAGGGGAGAGATGTGGTTGTCATTTACCTTGGCTTTAGCTGAGTTTTGACACTGTGTCCCACTACACTTCTGTAGCCCAGTTAGGACATTATGGTCTGTATGGGTGAACAATTAGATCAGTAGAAAAACCTGGCTGTCTGGAGGGGCTCAGAGAGCAGCAGTTAATGGTCATTCTCTACCTGGATGGAGTAGCCCACCTGGCAGGGGTCTGTGTGCCAAAGTGGTGCCTTGGGAACTGCACCATGACCTCTCCTGTTTAACATCTTCATCAGTGTTCACTCACCTCCTCCAGCGAAGAGGAAGAGACGACAAAGCTCAAGCAATTAGCAGATGACTATAAATGAGGGACCAGCTGATACTCTCACTGGCAGGGTGGGCAGTGCTGCTATTCAGGAGGCCTCAGAGAAGAAGCCTGGAGAAGAGCCAGCCTCTAGAGGACTGAACAGCAGCTTTCAAATACCTGTGAAGAGGTCCTCAGGAAGACAGAGCCAGGCTGTCTGAAGTGCTGCATGGCAGCAGGATGAAAGGAAACAGATCTCTGCCTCTGATGATATTAATTCTATAATATGTGCTCCTGCAGGAAACATGAAAGGAACTAATCCTCAGGTTTTACTGAATGGCTAAGAAACCTTTGCATGGCTTTAAAATCTGTCTTGCATTTAAAAATGCTGTACTCAAGGGATTCCTGACAGAACTACCACAAGCTGAAGGTGTCCTGAGGATTAAGAAATTCTTTAAGTTTGTCTGAACCACAATTTGTCTTCCTTGTCCCCTAGTCTGCCATGCATAAACTTTGTCTTTAGGTGAGGATATGACCCACAGATATTGCACATATCTCACAGTGGTATGAACTGCCAATTTTTAGCAAAATGATTGTTCTACATAGTCTTGTTGTATTTCTGTAGTATATTTGCAAAGACATGTTTTAGGAATTATTCAGCAATACATTTTCTCAGCAGAGCAGACGTTTACCTGAATAGTCTGATTCCTTATAACTGCTTCTATTTTTGGAGGAAATAAGCTTTGAGGTCTCCAGGGTTAGCATGCAAATTATTGTTTTCACTTTTAAGTTTGGGTCCTTGTTTGCTCATGTTACACAGTTTTCCAGCTGGGAAGGGACATTTCCTTCACTAGCCACCAAGGTGAGAGGGTTACAATGAAAACTGCAACATTTGAGAAAAAGGCAGAATAACCTTAAAGCCCAGAGACTCTCTGACCACTAAGTCCAAAGAACTGCTTATCTCAGATCAAGTCCAAGGGGAATCTGCACTAGCAGAAGGAAAGCACAAGAAGAGACTTTTCATTATCTTCTGAGACCTTCTAGCACCTTCCAGTGCATAAAGAGGCTACGAGAGAGCTGGAGAGGGACTTTTGACAAGGGCATGGAGTGATAGGGCATGGAGGATTGGCTATGAACTGAAAGAATGCAGGTTTATATTGGATATTGGGAAGAAATTCTTTACTGTGAGGGTGGTGAGGCACCGGAATAAGTTGCCCAGAGAAGTTGTTCCACATCCCTGGAAGCATCACCTACACCACGCTAACAGAAGAAAACTCGCTCTGGGTAAAATTTCACAAAATCTAGAAAATTCTTCATTTTCAGTCAAGCCACTGCACACCATGTGACGCAGAAGCCGTGCACGAGGTACCTCTGGGAAGCTTTTAGCTCAAACACTCGGAGCTGCTTTGTCTAAACGTTATTCTTATACATGCCTGAAGAATTCTGCTTCATTGAGCTGATGCGTGTTGAACACCTAAAACAAAGAAATTCTTCTGCCTTCATACTGAACAAACCTTTTAAATGCCCTTTGAACACCTAAAACAAAGAAATTCTTCTGCCTTCATACTGAACAAACCTTTTAGATGCCTTTTGTCTGAACTCCCTGTGGCTCAGTTACTGTCCCACAACTTCACTGTAGACCTGCACCATGGGAACTGCACCAGCTTTACACCAGTAGAAGTGCAAAAGCAATTTATCTGACTCTGTGGACTAAATTTTCTTCTATAAGCAATGAAATGGGGAATGGTAGATGTTCCTGAAAACTTTAACTTGGTGTAGTTCAAAATATAATTCCTTATCTCACTGACAAAGATTTACCTACAATTACAGATTGTAATCATTATTACAGAACCAAGTACTGAACTGGACTAACACCTTTGACGCAGAGAACAGTCTGGCTACAAAGAGCAAACCAGCTGCAGACCCACTAAAAAAACTGGTTTATGCTCTCTTCTGATTGCAGTTCAATCCTGCTGCTTCCTCCCTTCCCTGTTCCCTGCAGTAGCTGGTACTTGGATCAATTGACTTCTCCAAACCCAGGTGGACTTTATCAAATCTCTTACTGTAATCTGTCAGGCACTTCTAATCATATTAGTGATTTCCCATCATATAACATCAGTAATTATATTATTAGACTTGGGGTTTTTTTCCCCCAATCTGATATAAAATTGCCTCTGCATATTAATAACTTTTCTATCATGAGACTTTAATGAAGCAGAATATCAATGAGATGTGATGGGGTGGAAAACTGTTAGTGATATAAAAGATGTTCACATTTGGGTACAGATATGTCACTCTGCACTATTAGAAATGGTTTTCTTACAATGAGAACAGGTCTCTCTCCTTTATTTTTTGTTTCATTTCCCTCAATGTGGGACAACTGTAAAACTTTATTTACAATTCATATGGAGAATGATTAAATAGCTTTCATTCTCTGTGTGTTGAACAGCACTGCAAATCACAAAGGCATTCACTTGGTAAGAAGAAATTACAGTGATATTGTCTCATCCTCAGCATCATTTCTTACTTTAAAAAACATAAGAAAGTATGTCAAATTGTGGCAGAGACTGTAGTTTTATCTAAAATAAACTTATTAAAGAAGACAGTTTTTTTATTAACAAGTCAGAAACCAAATGATTAAACAGCTTTCTCTCTGTCTTAATACCAACTAGAAATCAATGTACATTATACAGCAGTGGCAGCTGAGATTGCAGAAGATCCAAGGACAGTATAAAGACTGTGATTTGCTGAAAACATTTCACCCGGGCAACAGCCATAAGATGAAGTCTAGTTTGCCCACATAATACATTCCCTTGCTATTTTCAATCTGAATTTAGAAAACTTACTTGCATAAACTGTAAAAAGGTGGTCTTGTTACAAATCCGTAACTGTCAAACTAAAAAGAATTGTTTCTACATCCTAAGCAGGTGCCCTAGAAAGCCTTTTGAAACATCATGTATTTCTGCTTAATGGCAGGCAATGCTAAAATTTTTTTATTGCTAGTTGTGACAATTGCAGCAATACAAAATATAAGTGCAGAACAGTGTTTCAATAACCTCCTTGCAACACTCAAGAGAAAACGCCATAAAAAGTCTGATTCACCCACAGTGATTCACAACAAGCCAGTTTTGTGTAGATCTTCATGGATAGAGTGTAGAGAGAATTGGGATCTACCCATTCAAATGATTGAAGGATGATTGCCATTTAACATCACCATGAATGGACCTACAACATAAAGTTTGCATACTTTAGTAAAACATGCAGGGGTTTTGGTTTATTTTCCTCAATCAAAAATATAAGATTTTTACATAGTTTCACAAGCTATCCTTGATCTACTTTTTCATTTGCTGGACATAACCTGGTAGAACTGGAAAAAAACAAATAAATGAAGGGCAGAGCAGCTGAAAGACAAAAAGTAAACAACAGAATGGCAGAGATATGTCATGGAAATTAAAAGATTCTGGATGATATATATTGACCATGACAAAATTATTTTTTTAAAATTAACATACTATTAAAAATAATATTCATTCTATTACTCAAACTTTAGTGATATAGTTGGAAATTATTTAGCATTATTCATTAGCATAGGAGCTGACAAACATGAAACAATATCACCCAGAGAAACCAGAGCTTTCCTGAATGGTTTGGGGAAAAGAGTCATGCACATCATACAGGTAATACACCTTCCCCTACCCAGTACCTGTGTCTGTGTGCCTAACACAAGTAAATCTAGAGAAGCCTTGGATAAAATAATTGCACTGCAGGTGATGCTCAGGTAGGAAATATTATGGCTGTAGACAGACATAAAGACAAGTTCCATCCTGATTTATAGTGTGTAAAATTGTACCAGCTGCAGTGGAGGACAGTTATAATATGTCAATGCAGTTTATAGGTGATGCAAAGCAGAACAAATGTTTGCCAGGTCTCAGTGATAGATTTTATTGAGGTAAAAATGCAAAGCCAGACAGTGTGCAAACACTTGAGAACATGCATTTAAGCTGCAACTATTTATAGTGTGCAAAGATAAAAAGTTTGCCAGGTGTGCCCCTCATGCCTTCTCAACCCTTTTAAAGCAATCTATTCCCCACTGGATGTCAGGTGAATACATCCAGGCTACGCCTGATCCAGTCTGGGGAGAGGTGAGGGTGACCTGTCACAGCACAGTTCATGTCTGTGCAGCTGAACTGCCTTTACTGCCCAAATTAGAGTAATCACACCTCAACTGCTCACTGCGAAATGGCCTTGGGGGGTGGCTGAGCACTTTTTGGGACAGTGCTGCTTGGTCTGAGCCACCTCTGCTCGAAAACACACTTTAATGTTATGCCTCCTGGCAGTGAGGATGACACCTTAATACCTAGTTTGGTTTAAGTCTATACCAGTCTGTGATCCCACCATAACAAGTCTGAAAGGAAAAAAAGCAAATTTGGTTCTAAACAAGGGAATTTCAGGCAGCAGATGGACTTTACAGCTTTTCCTTGCAAGTAGGCTCTAGCCAACCATTTCCCTCACAAGTTTAGTGTGGTCCTTGAGATGTATCAGAGTTTATGCTATAGTACAGGTACAATATAATTTCATAAGTGGGTATACCAGGTCTTGTCCCCCCATGGCAGCCCACAGTAATTCCCAGTGACCTTGTGGAAACTGCATTCATATCTTGCAGTGGGAGCAGAGGGTTTTACAATATCAGATGACAGCAGAATTCTTAGTAACTTAGAAAATCCTCTCTAACTGTCAAAGGCTGTCATCATTTATTTTATTACAGTGAATAGTCAAATGATTTGAAAAGGTTAGCCCCACTCCTGTAAATTATACACATAATATCTCAAATTCTCCTTTTGTTTCTAACTACTTAATTCTAGTAATGCCTGGATAATAAAATCTTGTTCTGTATTTTTGACATTTACAACTATTCTACACAGAGAAAAACTTGGAGATAGTTAATCATAATAATGAAAAAATCGGATAAATATCTAATGAAAATTTCAAATATGCAATATATGTGTTACCTTTGCTCTATGAAAGAGTAGGAAAAGCAGCTGGAGGAAAGGCCAGACATCTGACTCA